GCTCAGAGCTTCCTCTTTGCCTTTCTTATTAATCATTCCTTCTTATGAGCAATAAATCAGGCAACAAAGTTTTTTTGTGAAGCTAATGCTTCCTGTCTGGTTAAAGCTAAAGTCTTCAGAAGTGAGCCGGTGTTATCTCTTCAAAGTGTGAGTTTGCTGTGGTTTATTGTTTGTGACAAGAAAGAGGAGCCAGATGCAAGCTGTAACCTAAGTTTTTTTGAATGCATACTTCCTGCACAGGTATAAGACAGTCCAAGCTGGAGGACTGAATTTAGTTTCATTAGTTATGTTTTAATAAGTTTAATTACTTAATTTATTACACTGAATTGTAAAAAGGAAGACTTTTATTGAATTTAATCCTGCATTCTGTATTTAAATTTGTTTGAAACATACGTGTTTTAAATGAAGGGCCTCCTGCCCTAGAATATGCAGTAAGCTCCAGCAGCACAGCGAAGAACTCTGGGACATGGGGACAGAATGTAGATTCATCTCGCTGGGGAGTGTGATAGGTTTGTGTCAAAAATCTGCCCACAAGTAGCCACAGATTTGTAAAACAGTGCTAAAGTTCTTCACCCAGTCAACGTTCATCCTTTGTGTGATTTCTGCTGTGTGCACAATTGATTCTGATTTTGTGAGTTAAAGTGCACGATATAATTACTAGGAAAAACTGTACTAGTTTGTTTTGCCCCTGGAGAGATGTTTTGTGTTACAGAGTTTGAAATATCAAAAGCCACAGATTCAAACTTTTCTATGGAAACGGGTCAGCAGCATCCTGCAGGTCACTCCTGCAGAACTGTCCCTGAAGTTAGCATGGATCCACCAGCCCCTTGAACCACACACGGCACAAAGTGGAATGAGGGAGGAGGAGATCTTTGGGATGTGGAGGCTGGGGAAAATCTCTTTTAGACCTTATCAACAGCACAAACAGAGCAACCTAAAGTCTGTTTTAACTTATTAAGTCCATGGAGTCCCTTCCCATATCCCAAGGTTTATTGTATGGGAAGGCCGGGCAGAACCTACCTGTCTCTCCAGAGCTGCTGTAGGGGAATCAAGTGTCTGTTCCATTCAGCCTTCATCTTCTCTTTCATACCGAAATATCTCTACTTGTCACAGAATTACAGAATAGTTGAAATTGGAAGGCGGCTCTGGTGATCGTCAACACCCTGTTCAAAGCGGAGTCAACTAGAGCAAGTTGCTAAGGACGTTGTCCAGTTGGCTTTTGAATATCTTCATAAATGGAGGCTCTTCCACCACTCTGTGAAGCTTGTTCCAGTTTTTGACCACACTCACTGTAAATAAAAAAAAAAAAAGAAAATGTTTTGATTGATAAGACACACCGAGCCTTGTCTTCTCCAGACTGAACAGTCCCAGCTCCCACAGCCTCTCCTTATATGAAAGATGCTTCAGTCCCTTAATCATCTTAGTGGCCCTTTGCTACTTGCTCCAGTAAGTCCGTAGCCTTGTTGTACAGGGTAGCCCAGAACTGGACACAATACTCGATACATGGCCTGAGCAGTGCTGAGCAGAGGGGGAGGATCACTTCCCTTGATGTGCTGTCAGCATTCAGCCTAACACAACCTAGGAGGCTGTTGGCTGCCTTTGCCACAAGGGCACATTGCTAGCTCATGTTCAACATGGTGTCTGCCAAGAATGGCCAGGTCCTTTTCTGCAAAGCTTTTTTCCAGGTGGTTGGACGCCTCTATGTACTGGTTCCTCACCATGTGCAGGACTTTGAACTTACCTTTGTTGAACTTCATGAGGTTCCTCTCTGGCCATTTCTCTAGCCTGTCTAGGTTTCTCTGAATGTTGGGACAACCACCTCGTGTATCAGTCACTCCTTTCAGTTTTGTATCTGAGAACTTACTGAGGGTGCACTGTGCCTCATTGTCAAGGTCATTAATGAAGATGTTACACACTGCTGCTTCCACTATTGATCCCTGGAGCATACTTCTGGTCACTGACCTGGACATCATGCCACTGGTCACAACCCTCTGGACTCAGTCCTATAGCCAGTTTTCAATCCACTTCACTGTCTACTTATCCAGCTCCATACTTCATCAACTTGTCTGTGAGGATGTTGCAGGAGACAGTGTCAAAAGCCTTACTGAAGTCAAGTAAAATAATATCCACAGCTCTGCCCTCATCCATGGAGGAAGTCACCTCATCGTAGAAGGCTATCAGGTAGATCAGGCATGTTTTCCCCTTTGTAAATCCATGCTGACTACTCCCCAATCACGTCCTTCATGTGTCTGGAAGTGGTTTCTAGGATTAGTTTCTCTACCAGCTTCCCAGGGACTGATGTCAGGCTGACTGGCCTGTAATTGCCTGGATCCTTGTTGTGGTTTAACCCCAGCCAGCAAATAAGCACCACACAGCCACTCACTCACTCCCCTGCAACGGTGGGATGGAGGAGAGAATCAGAAGGGTAAAAGTAAGAAAACTCATGGGTTGAGATAAAGACAGTTTAACAGGGAAAGCAAAAGCCGTGCACACAAACAAAGCAAAACAAGGAATTAATTCAGCACTTCCCATCAGCAGGCAGGTGTTCAGCCATCTCCAGGAAAGCAGGGCTCCATCACACCTAATTGTTACTTGGGAAGAAAAACACCAATGTCTCCCTCCTTCTGTCTTCTCCCAGATTTATATGCTGAGCATGATGTCATATGGTATGGAATATCTCTTTGGCCAGTTGGGGTCAGCTGTCCTGGCTGTATCCCCTCCCGACTTCTTGTGCATCCTGAGCCTTCTCACTTGGCGGCGTGGTGTGAGGAGCAGCAAAGGCCTTGACTGTGTAAGCACTGCTCAGCAATAACGAAAACATCCTGGTGTTATCAACACTGCTTTCAGCACAAATCCAAAACATAGCCTCATACTAGCTACTATGAAGAAAATTAACTCTACCCCAGTCAAAACCAGCACAATCCTCCTTCTTGAAGACAGGAGTCACATTTTCTGACTTGCAGTCTTCAGGGACCGCTCCTGATCACCATGACCTTTCAAAGGTTATCGAGCGTGGCCTCGCAATGACATCAGCCAGATTCTGCAGCACTTGTGGTGTGTCCCATCAGGGCCCGTGGAGCTGTGTATGTACATTTCCTTTAAATGCTCCCTAACGTGACCCTCCTCCCTCAAGGTTAAGTCTACCTTGCACTGGACTTTCTCATAGTTTTCATACACCTCAGATTGCTGAAGGCAAGTCATATCAGCAAGGGCTGAGACAAAGAAGGCACCGAGTTACTGAGTGTATCACCCTTTTCTATGTCTTTGTGACCAGCTCCACTGCATCTTCAGAAGCAGGCCCACATTTTTTCCTAGTTTTTGTCTTGCTGATGTACTTGTAGAAACTTTCTTGTTGTCCTTCACATCCCTCATCAGATTCAAATCCAGATGGGCTTTGGATTTCCTAACCCCATCCCTGCAAGTTAGGGGATTCCTCCTGGGTCACCTGACCCTGCTTCAACCTCTTGTACACTTTCTTTTTATGTTTGAGTTTAGTCAGGAGCTCCTTGCTCATCCATGGAGGCCTGCTGCCGCCTTTGCTTTGTAGCCTACTCATTGGGATGGACCATTCTTGAGTTCAGAGGACCTGAAAACCAACCAGCTATTCTGAACCCCTCTTCTCTCCAGGACTGTCTGCCACAGAATTCTTGAAAGCAGATTCCTGAGCAGGCCAAAGTCTGCTTTCCTCAAGTCCAGGGTTGCGAGTCTGCTTTTCATTTTTTTCCCCTTCTTTTCAGAATCCTGAACTCCACCATCTCATAGTTACTGCAGCCAAGCCTAACCCCAGCCTTTACATCCTTGACCGGTTCTTGTCTGTGTTGTTAAAAATAAATGGCGTAAGAAGAAAAAAAAGGGAAAGGAAATTAAGAAAAGGGATGGGAAATATTTTTATCTTTTGAAATGAAACATGTATGTTCCTGGTAACCTATAAAGTGAAAATAATTATGCAAATGTTCATAGAATTATGTTTCCAGATTTTGATTAATTCTCAGAATTAACAAAATGAGTGATTTGGGAAGTCCTCTTCTGTTCTGAAGGTACTATAATTTCTCTTTTCCATCTGAAGCCAAGTCCCAACCTATCTATAAAGCAGGTTTGAGCAACTTTTTTCTACACAGACCGAAGAATTAGGTGGAAAGACTGATATTGCTGGACAGATCAGAGAAATTGTTCTTGTAGGAAAAGAACTGGCAGTGCAAGCCTATGATTTTAGTAATGAATTCTACAGATTCAACTTCTTCAATGTATTCTGTTGCTCAGTGAATGTGACATTACAATTAACTCAGAGTTTGGTGTGACCATGGCAGGCTCAGGTTGTGTCACTATAATTCTGAAAGGGTAAAGTTTTGTGCTGGGGTAAAAGAACCCAGGTTTCCTGTGTGAGTCACCACAATACTTTTTTATCATCTCTCAGTTGCCCTGTTTCAGCCTGATGGTAAGGGTCACTTTGTCATCCTGCAGAGTCACATGTGGAGACCAGGACAGATGGCACCACCTGTTCTGATATTACATTTCAGCTTCCTACTGTGGAATTAAGGTAAGCCCCCTCCCCATTTTCTTGTCCAAATGCTCAAAGGACTTTTCTTTTTAAATCAGTATGTCATTGATATAGATCAAATGCAATGCTTTTATTGACAGTGCTTGCAGTGAAAGAGTATTGCATTCTGCAAATTGTCCCACTAGAATTAACCATGTCTATCCATTTGCTACATGAGGAAATTTAATTCCTCACCTTTGTCATCTTGGTCAAGCCTAAATTGCTTACTTATATTAGTTGGTGTGGAGAATGCTAGATGTCTTCACTTCCTTGTGAAAGCAAGATCCTCTGTCTAACATTGACCTACTTAGCATCTGTCATAGTAGCAGTTTAATCACAAAAGATAGAGCTCTTCATGAGCTATTGTCATTGCCTAAATGATTTTGTATTCCAGAAAGCTTTATTTAGGACATCAGTCCTTCTATATATTACTCTTCTGCTAATAATACGTTCTGTTGTAGAAATGATTCCAAACTGCTGGGAGGAAAGCTCTATTGACCTTCAGGGAAATTCAGATCCAGACCTGGACTTTGTAGCTAATTGGACTTCTAAATTCCAAGTAAAGCAGAGTGAAAAAAAGCAACGCTTAAAAGCATGTGACGGGAATAGAAAGGAGCATGTCTATCTGAATATGAAACACAGCACTTCTTCCAAGAAACAGATGATGAAAAGACAAAGAACAGAGGAGAACAAGAATATCAAGAACAAAGGTAAAATCTGTTAATAATGGGAAAGATGTATGCATTACTGAATAAACAGTCTAACAGATTTAATGTCTGAATTAGAGATCTGCATTTGTGTGCTAAAATTTTTTCTTTTCTATCCTGCTGTTTGAAGTTGGGAAGGATGGGCAGTTCAAGGCAGGTTAAAATTGGAGACTTGCAGCTGCAACAAAGTAATGTGTGATCTAATAATTTCTGTTGATGCTGCATCAAAACAGTCATTGTATTTGGACTTCCAATGTAATGCCGAGTTGTGACTGATTAATAAGCCCTTACAATAGGAGAAATCTCAAAGGAGATGGGCAAGTGCAACGTGCTCATGAAGTATCCAGTGACTGAATATGGCTGTCAGAAAGAAAGTTGAACTTAACATTAAGGGGACCGGAGAGGTACATTTTTTGGCATTAACAGTTGTATCAGTTAGGTGGATCAACCGGCTGTACCAGTTGAGTGGATCAGCTGGTTGTGTAAATTTTCATCCATGAGTTAAACCAAAGAGTGCGAATGTCTTCCTGAGTCAGCCAGACCGGCATGGGGGAAGTGTGTATGATGTGGTTCAGCCTAACACAGAGTACAACCACTGAGCAACTGACAAAAACCTTTGAAGAGCGCAACAGGCTTGAGCTGCTTAAACCCACATATTCCTTCCTGGTGCCACCCAGCGTTGCGATGATAAGGATATCATAGAGCTTGGCAATGAGAATCACATGTGTATTGTGATTCAGATGTGTGTTGAAATTGCTTTATTCTGCTAAGTGTCATTTGCACTTGTGTTGTGCTTTCAACACATAGCTGTATCATTCTGCTAAATCAGAATCCTGTATAACATCACATGTCTTCAAATAAGTAAATTTGGTATTAAACATTAAATTGTGCATGTGTGGTATATAAAAAAAAAACCTGGTCAGACAGTACTGGACTCTGACATGAGTGCAGACTGAGGTAAACAAAAACTGGAGTTCAGTGTAAATTATGTTTTTAGAGCTGATCCCATTGAGAAAGCCTCACTTTTCACACATTTATGTTCTTTTTCTTCTTGTTAGATTCTCCTGTTTCAGATACTACCTGCTGGATTATAGCAGTGATTCTAGGGAGCCTCGCCTTGGCATTGCTGGGAACTACAGTGGGTTTTATTATCAAGGGTAAATAAACCTCCTCCATTGAAGATATTTGTTTTGAATTTAGAACTGTGGCAGGGAGCAAAACAGAGCTTTTGGGGTCCAAGAAGAGCATGGAAGTACCTTTTCCCTCTTAAAAAAGACTTGCTTCTTTTTTCTGAGATTTTTAAATGTTAAGCTCAGTCTAGTTAGACCTGTCCTCATCAGGAACAAGAGAGTAAGGCGTAGAGGGTGTCAAAGATGGGTTTGAAAGGGGCAGCTGGGTAAACTTCAGTGTAGAGCAAGCACACTATGTTGGGTGCTCAGCCATTCGAGAACATCCTGAAGAATACAACTCTAGGCTGGAGGACATAACCTGATGGCCCATTTATTTGCTGTGGATTTGGAGGTCAGTGCTGTACAGCAGAGAGAATGAACCCCGAGGTGTTCAGTGGCCATCCACAGGCTAGTAACACCAGCAGCTCTCCTGCTAGGAAGGAAAAGGAGAGTGCTTCAAACTGCAAGACCTCCATGACTAGCAGCTGTTAAGACTCCTGTCCCTAGGAAGTTTAAGCCTTTTGACCAGCTTGCCATGAAATGCTATCAAGCTAAGGTTCAGGCAACTATAGTAATTGGAAATGCTGCTCGTACAAAGCAGCAGTACTTCAGAAATGTGCTGGAGGATGTGCCCAAGGAGCAGCCAGCGCTAGTGGTGGAGGCTGTATAAAAATGGGTGACCTGCCACAAACCTGCCAGGTGCTTTGCCTTTGACAGAAGGAGATATGTGCCAAAGACAAAGTTTATATGGGGAAGACAGAACAAAAAGGGGATGGAAAAACAAAAAAAAGGCAAAAATATGGGGAAAGAAAAGGAAGGTCTGAAGGGTCCTCTACATGCTCTCCTACCAATTCCCAATCTGGAAAATGGATGCCCTTTACAGAGCCCTTCAGGGACGCTGATGTAGGTGATTACATTGTCTTTGCAAGTTCAGAAGAGCTCCAAGGATGGCATTACTGTAACTGTGGAGAATAATTTTCTGGAGAGAGACTGTATTTGTGAAATCGTTTTGTAATGAACTAGGCTATGACTATCAGTGGGAAGAGAGATGTATGACTGTTTTGCAGGCTGTCCGTGTCCACGCTGCCCTGAGCAGTGGGTGGGCTCCGGGGGGACCTGTTACTCCTTCTCCAAGGAGAAGAAGGACTGGCATTCCAGCCAGGAATCCTGCCGGGCACTGGGAGCTCATCTCCTGGTGATCAACGATACCAGTGAACTGGTGGGTGCCTTTGCAATGGCAAGGGCAGAGGGCCTTTGCCATGCAGGTTGGTAGGATTACGGGGGAAGGCGCTGCACTGCCCGACTCTTCCTCCTCTATGAGGAAGGGCAAGCGTAAAGGGCCTCTGCAATGCTCTGGGACTCACCCGCCACCTTCCTGCCTCTGGCAGAGGCAAGACTTTCCCTTGGCCCCTTGGCAAGAGGGACTTGCTTCTCTCTGCCTGCCTCTGCTGAGCTTGTCATGGGCTCAGCCCACAGACCCCACAGTCAGAGGGCTGCCTGGCACTCTGAGATGCTGTCTCACAGAGCAGGTCCCTGTAGGAAGGAAGGGCGTGGGTATTCAAAGGATGTTGGGAAATGGTCCCAAATTTCCCTCTCTCACAGAGTGCCCCTTTCTTTCTCCCTCAGAACTCAGGCCTTGACTGGGTTTCTCCAAGTCTACTGATCTCTCTCTGCCTCTGTCCCTCCTAGGACTTCTTCCAGATAATGCACACCAAATCCCACTGGATTGGTTTGCAGAATAGCACTGGTGGTGACTGGGCCTGGGAAGATGGTTCAAAACTGAGGGGCAAAAAGTGAGTATGGTGTTTCCTCTGTATTTTCAGATAAAGTAAAGGGCTTGAGATCTTTCCAATGCCCTTAATCCTTTTACATGAAATGTCCCATCTGTCAATGGAAGTCAATCAATGAACAGAGCTGCTAGGGGATGTTCAGAGTGGCTGCAGGCTCTAGCAGCTCCAGAACTAAGGAATTCCTCCTGCCCAGCTGCTGGAGCCCACGCTGATGCACACAGAGACCTGGGAGTCTCTATCCCAGGCTGATGGACACAGCGGCTACTTTCCCATTGGCAGGTTCAATCAGTAGAGAAGCTGAACATGTATCCCAGAGACACAAACATGGACACAGACACACATGCAGGCAAAGGACTCTGACACAGCTGGCTACACAGACTGCCACGGACAAGGCACTGCCTTCAGCAGCACCCACATGTAATGCTACCAGGGCTCACATAAAGAAGAACTATAGGCAGATAAATCCCCACCCTCCTCCCTGGCTGCTCAGGACTAAAGTTCACTGGTGAAGGCACACACAAAATGCTCTCTAGGTTCACAAGCACACACACATTCATGGATCCCCTGAGTACCAGCACGGCACCTCTCCGTTTGACACCTCTGCCCACATCCCAGCCCCTCTTACCTGACCCACACGTGCCCTACTCACCAGTTGCTCCAGCTCGGTTCTCGCTACCAAACAGTCCCATGCACTCACACACTTGCCTCACAGGCACCCCACACTCGCAGGAACCCTCAAATACCAGCATGGCCCCCCCTAATGCCTTAAGTGTAAGGTCTCCAACTGCCTTAAGTGTAACAGCAAAAAATCCTTTGTGGGACAGGACTTTTCTCTCTTGTGTGATTGGAAATGGAGAGCCCAGAATGAGACTGACTTACTGAAAAATCTCATGGTGGCTCGGGTCATAGCGAGCCCCACTGTCAGACCTCCTAATGTCCCAGGATGGGTCTTCCCTGACATGGGGTCATGAGGTCCAGCTGCATCGAGTCTCCTACCTTCAAAGTTGTGAAGCGTTCTTCCTCCTGCCAAAATGGGGATCCCACTCTAATGTCTCCCCTGCTTGCATGCTCTGCCTGTGTCTCCCACAGGGTCCTGTTCAACAGCCCTGTGCAGAACTGTGCCGTTCTGCTGGAAGGTGCCATCCGTGCTTCCAGCTGCGAAGTCCTTGCCCCATGGATCTGCGAGAAATCTCTTCAGTGAATTCCATGCACCTTGTGTAATGAAGTGTCCTTTGGAGAGCTCTGCTAAGGCTTGATCCCTGTGAAGGTGACTCAGGAAGCTTCTCTGGGAGTGCCTGGCTATGGTCCTTGCTGCTATGACACCTGCTGCAGTGCAAGGAGTGAATGCAGCTGCAGCCAAAGCCCTGGCATGAGCAGCTGCAAGATGAGGTCCGAGTGCTGCTCCTGTCTCCATTCAGGGTCACACTGGCGATGGTCATATTCATAGCCATTGGCTAGTCACAGGTGGTCTTCAAAGTGGTAGCGAAGGGGAAGCAGAGATTTCTCTAAGTCTCTCTCAGTCATTTTCAGAGATACTTGAGCCCTGTCACTGGAATGCTGTCCTGGCATTGGAAATCCTAGGGAGAGATGGGATTGTAATCTGTGAGCTCATGCAAGCTCTGGATTAATTTCTCTCTCTTGTGACACGCACCAAGGCAGAAAGCTAGCCTGAAGTTTAAGTTGTCCTGCTTTTGCAAGTGGATCAGATGATATCCAGAGGTTCCTTCTAACCTAAATTCTTCTGTGGTTTAAGTTTTTACCTGGACAAAACATGGCTCCCAGTGTTACACTGCTGTGTAACTAGCTGTGAAGGAGTAAACCTGTTACCCTGCTGAGATGAAAATAAACATGGGTCACTTCTAACAATTTCTTCAGTAATGACTTTTTCTGTTTTCCTTCCCAATATCATTGTTTAGTGCATTGGGTGATTGATAAATGGGCAGAAAGGAACCTGGTGCCAAGAACAGAGTCAAGAGGGCAGGAGATGAAACATTTTCTTTGCAGTAACACTGCAGAAGAGCATCTCCTCTTGCAGAGGACAGGATACAGCTATAGCTATTAAACAGGCTCCTACCCCAGCTCTGCTTGAAAGATTACAGACTGACAAATTTACAGTAGCCAAATAAGTGCAGCCCCTCATCTTCTAGCCCTTTTGCCGTAAGGCCCACCCGTGAAGGTGCCCTCAGTCATGGTTCAAATGCACCACACCACCCCCTTGACCGAGTGGTCTGTTTGCCCCATGCTCTGAGTTTCCTCCAGAGTACCTCTCCCCCTAAAGAAGTCCTGCCATACCCCACACAGAAGCACAAAATCACAGAATCATTGAGGTTGGAAAAGACCTTCAAGATCATCAAGTCCAACCACCAACCCAACACCCCCATGCCCACTGAACCATGTCTGGAAGTGCCACATCCACATGTTTTTTTGAATACTTCCAGTCATGGTGACTCCACCACCTCCCTGGGCAGCCTGTGTCAATGTTTGACCACTGTCACAGTAAAGACATTTTTCCTAATATCCAATCTAGACCTCCCCTGGCGCAACTTGAGACCATTTCCTCTTGTCCTATCACTAGTTACTTGGGAGAAGAGACCAACACCCTTGTCGCCACAACCCCCTTTCAGGTAGTTGTAGAGAGTGATAAGGTCTCCCCTCAGCCTCCTCTTCTCCAGACTGAACAACCACAGTTCCCTCAGCCACTGCCCATAAGACTTGTTCTCCAGACCCTTCACCAGCTTAGTTGCCCTTCTCTGGACACACTTTAGCACCTCAACATCCTTCTTGTAGTGAGGGGCCCAAAACTGAACACAGGATTCGAGGTGTGGCCTCACCAGTGCCGAGTACAGGGGTACAATTGGTTCCCTACTCCTGCTGGCCACACTATTTCTGATACAGGCCAGGACACAATTGGCCTTCTTGGCTACCTGGCACACTGCTGGCTCATGTTCAGTTGGCTGTCAGCCAGCACTTCATCCCATGGAATGCACTGGGCAGTTAGATACAACTCCCATTTTTGTGAGAATAAGGTTACAGTCACACAAAGTCCTACGCTGTACAACACCACCTTGCCTAACTGACAGGACGACTGTGATGACTTTCTAGTGACACTCTGGTGGTAGCTCATGATGGTATTTCTTAAAATACTGATGATTATGTTGTTAGGTTTGTGCCCCTAAGCAGTCAAAAAATAAGTTATTATAATTATCTGAGAGAAGTGTTTCTTACAGTCAGACAGCTGTTCTTTACTGACAAAATTGAAGTTCTAACATATCACCAGGGATGCTTAAGATGACAAAACAGTCTCTGTTGCCATGTTTATCTGAAGAACGTTTCAAAAAATCTCATCTTTAGCACCCCTTTGATGTTAAAAAAATTCTTTTCCTCTATTCTTCACAAGTATTTTAAAGAATGTTAAAATCTCATTGTACCTTAGCTTTTATAAATACTGATTTTCTCTCTTATTCCTATTTATGCAAAAAACACTCCATTCCTGATTTAGCTGGCTCACCATAGGCAATCCACTCCAAAGATCTCTATACCCCACATACCCTACTGCTTTTTTCCCAGGTGGCATGTCCAAATACTATCCATATCAAAGGCAATCCACTTTTCCATGCATCTTTACCATCATAGCTTTAATTTACTGCTCTCTGCCCTGCATGCTTTTCTTTCTCATTTTTGAATGACATGCTTGTACAGCAGCTTGCAAGGTTGTGGATTGTCAGTTGCCAATGCCAGTCTGCTGTTCTTGAAGTCTTCTGCTGATCTGCTCTTGAAACTCACTTGTTACTCTCCTTTACCTGACTATGGGATTGCACTGTGTTGGCAAACACAGAGGAAGATACTGATGGGTCCTATGGAGGATTAACTGCTGAAATTGGGGTTGTATTGATCCTGATGTTTTTGTTGTCCTGTTGAGACACAAGCTGTCAGTATTGCTAGTGGTAGTGGTGGAGCTTCTAGACTGGAATGTTGTTATATAAACACCAAAGACAGAAATTAAAACCAAAAGAATCCTCACGTAGAATCATAGAATAGTTTGGGTTGGAAGGGACCTTTAAGAGTCATTTATCCCACCCCACCCCCCTTGCAATAAGCAGGGACATCTTCAACTAGATCAGGTTGCTCAGAGCCCTGTCCAACCTGACCTTTAATGTTTCCAGGGATGGGGCATCTACCACCTCTCTGGGCAACCTGTGCCAGTGTTTCACCACCCTCATTTTGAAAAAGTTCTTCCTTAGATCTCGTCAAAACCGACCCTATTTTAGTTTGAAACCACTACCCCTTGTTCTATGTCAACAGGCCCTGCTAAAATCTGTCCCCATCTTTCTTATAAGCCCCTTTTAAGTACTGGAAGGCTGCAATAAGGTCTCCCCAGAGCCTTCTCTTCTCCAGGCTGAACAACTCTGACATCCTCAGCCTTTTTTCATAGGAGAGGGGTTCCATCCCTCTGATCATTTTTGTGACCCTCCTCTGGTTCTTCTCCAACAGTTCCATGTCTTTCCTGCGCTGAGGGCTCCAGAGCTGGACATAGTAGTAAAGGGGGTCTCACCAGAGTGGAGTAGAGGGACAGAATCACCTCCCTCGACCTGCTGGCCACGCTTCTTTTGATGCAGCCCAGGATATGATTGGTCTTCTGGGCTGTAAGCGCACATTGCCGGCTCATGTCCAGCTTTTCATCCACCAGTACCCCCAAGTCCTTCTCGGCAGGACTGTTCTCAATCCCTTCATCCCCCAGCCTGTACTGAGACTGGGAGTTGCCCAGACCCAGGTGCAGGGCCTTGCACTTGGCTTTGTTGAACCTCATGAGGTTCACACGGGCCCATTCCCTGAGCCTGTCCAGGTCCTTCTTGATGGCATCCCGTCCGTCAGGTGTGTCAACTGTACCACTCAGCTTGGTGTCATCTGCAAACTTGCTAAGGGTGCATTTGATCCCTCTATGTCACTGATGAAGATATTAAAGAGTATTGGTCCCAGTACGGACCCCTGAGGGACACCACTTGTCGCTGATCTCCATCTGGACATTGATCTGTTGACCACTACCCTCTGGATGCAACCATCCAACCAACAGTCCACCCATCAAATCCATCTCTTTCCAATTTAAAAAGGATGTTGTGGGGAACCATGTCAAAGGCCTTACAGAACTCCAGATATACGACATCGGTAGCTCTTCCCTTGTCCACTGATGTGGTCACTCCATCAGTGCTCAAGTCTGTTCCCTTGGGATCAGCATTATGCTGTAGCTACTGTGCTCTACGCATTTCCCAGTACTGTATGTGGTTGTGGTTTTAAATTCCATATTTCTGGACCTTTAGGTTTTTCAGATACTGGATTCAGGATTTATGTAGACCTATATAGCCCATATGCCAGTTAGCAGTGGGAATTGTTGCTATGCTGCACTTCTGTGATGTTTTGACCAGGTGTCCCCTGAAATGTGCTATATCAGGAGACTTTAAGGATGCTATTCTAAGGCCTCATCTATTCTAGGAGAATTGAACATGCCAAGACGTGTTCTCTGCTGTCGAAGTTGGCTGGGGCTCCATAACCATATGCTAATAAACTCACTGTCCCTCAAAAGAGGACTTGGCCTAAATTGCAAGCTGGATGGTTTGACACCAGGTGTGAGAGAGCAGCAAGGGCCAGCTGCTCTGTAGAGAGTGGATGGCTTGCTGGGAGCTGAGAGCAGTAACATTGACAGAGGTGATGGTCCACGGTCCCTGCCACCTCTCATCTTTTGTGAGTTAAGCGTAGGACAAGTTTCTGACTTACTGGAGGGAAGCTCCAGTTTTTCTCATTAAACTTGGTGGATGCTGTGGCTTAGGTGATACTTTGTCAGCTGCAAAAATAGGCCACCTTTTGCTTCCTATTTAGAAAGCCAAATTAGTGTGGGGAATAGACACCCCAGCACTGTGGCACACAATGTAGATACAAGGTAAGAACATAAATCCTGTTTTTTAGTAAATTAAACAGTTCCGTTTACTTGACTAACATGGATGCAGCCTAAGAAATCCTGTCTCATTTTCCACACAGGGTTACCAGCTGTTTGGACTGCTGTTCTGTGTTTCACAGACAGGGTTGTCAGCTCCCTTCAGCAGTGAAGCATTTGTAGTCAACACGCAAAGCTGACACATGCACAGGCTTAACCTGGGGCTCAACCCTAATCCACACAGGTTTATTCTGAGATTATACTGCCGATGTGCT